CATTTTACATCACAACACACTTAAACACAGATGTGTTTAAACATACACACATGCACACACACCCTCAATGTCTCAGGAAACAATACTTTATCTTAATCTCTGTGAAAACTCTGATAGCTCCTATAATATTCTGTTGCTTTCCTTCCATCTTGAAAAAGGTAGGTCCTGACCCACTAAGTTGAGTTCACTGCCTACCCCTGGCTGGGCACCTGCAGTGGGGGAATCCTGCCATTTTGCTTGGCTTGGAGCAGGTAGTCACCTGTAATGCTTGGTCTCAAGGCCAGGTGGGCAGCAGAGAATGCGTGTCAACATTTGGGAAGCAAATGAGTCTGACAGTGCTCTCTTGTGCTTCCTTAGTCTCTTGTCTGCCCCTGCCCAGCCCCCTGTGCTGTCCTGCATGCGGTTTCCTGTGAGATTCCCAGTGAAGTCAGGGGCCATTTGGGGCCATTTCTACACCTCCCGGTGTAGAACTGTGCTGGTTTGATAATAATCATGTGCTATGTATTTGTTAAATGAATTAACCACAGGTAATAGCAATAATAGAAATTGCCATTTGCCTGGCATTCATTTATCCTGTGAGAGATCTTATGAGAGATTAGGAGAAGTTCATTTTATGGATGAGGAAATGAAGACTAAAAGAGATTACAGAGCCCAGTGACCAACTCCCAACCCCTCCCAATCGCAGGATCTTATTTGTTCACATTTCTCTCAGTGCTACTCAGGATAGGGCAAAGGGCAGATCCTTAACAAACCCTAGGGGACTGATGACAGGTTGATTAAAGAGATTTTCCAAAGCAGTGGCCACATCTAATTTTGGAGAGTTACACCTCATATGTGGCTTGGGAGAGAGAATCTATGAGGTTTCCAGGGCCCCTAGATATGGGGCCATCTCACTTGGGAGGAGCCTGGGTCTCTGACAAGCCAGGGTAGCAGGTCTTCTAGTTACCTGGCCTCACAGGCTCCTGGCACACCTGTGATCAAACTCAAAGCTTGTGTAGCCAGGCACGGTACTGCATGCCTCCAATCTCAGCTACTTAGGAAGCTGAGGCAGGAGGACTGCAGGTTTGAGTCCAGTCTGGGCAATTTACAAAGATCCTGTCTTGGTAAAATAAAATGTAAAAAGAGTTGGGGGGTGTAGCTAAGTAGCAGAGCACTTGCCTAGCATGTACAAAGCCCTGGGTTCACCTCTAGTACTTGAGGGTAAAAAACAGGTCCTTACCCACAATTCCAACTTGCAGTCCTGTCTGTACCCCTCATCCGCTCAGGGTTCCTGCTATCCCGGCGGTCTTGCTGCTCCTCAAGTACGCCAAGCCTGGTCCTGGATCTCCATTCTGCCTGAAAGGCTTTCCTTCCTCTCTAGTCTTCCCCATCTTGCTCTGAGACTGCCCCATCTAAAAACTCCTCCCTCTCTACTTTTTTATTATAGTGCTAGAAACTTCTGGAACTTATATAAACAAAGAGTAACTGGAATATATGGTGAATGCTTGAATTTTAAAAAAAGACACATTGCATTACCCATCTCAAAATACTCCTCATCCCAAACACACTTATTTCACCAGTCTTGTCACTTTCTGAAGCAGTTCTAGAAGTCCTCTTTCATGGGTGTCTTTACAGGGTTTGATAAAAAAATACGGTGAATGCTGCTGCTGAGTGACATCTAACAGAAAGCGGGCTCAGGAAAACATTACTGGGGGCCCTCATCCACCTAACCACCAGATCTGGCACCATACAGCTTCTGGCACCTCCCCAAAGTCAAGATGACCATGAAAGGTAAACATGTGGAATTGATTTAGGACAACAAAGCAGCCACAACAGTGCAACTGAAGACATTCATGTGAAAGGACTTCTAAAACTGCTTTAGAAGGTGACAGGAACAGTGGGGTAAAGCGTATGAGAAGGAAGGAGGAGTGTTATGAGGGAGACCAAGGACAAGGCGTCTTTTACTATAATAAATTTTAAAACAATTTTAGTATTCACCATTTTTTTTACTTTTTATCATATTGTATACGAGTGCTTTCTGGTTTATTTCTGTCTTTTCCACTAAACAGGAGGTTATACTCACTACTCCAGTACCTAGCCCTTATTATGGGACAGTACCTGGAATAGAGTAGGAGCTCAGTCATACTAGCTGCATGAATGAGTGAATGAGTGAAGAGTGAATGGGTTTTCCTCCTCTTAGACAGTTTGGATCAACCCATCGGTTCGCATGCTCACATCAGCCCAGCAATGTGTGTCCCTGTGACTCATACCCAGTGTCCCCAGACTCGCATGAGTGAGTGTTGGTTCACCTGCTTTGGAGAGAAAGAAGGGAAGGACCACTGGCCGTGTCTACCATGTGCTGCTTTGCGTACATAGCTGACACGTCCTAAGCACTCGAGGATCATCTCCATGCTACAGCTAGAGAAACTGAGGCCCGCTCTCTGCTGTGTTTTCAGTGGCACCCTGGCCAGCACAACCATCTGGTGAGCTGAACTGCACCACACCGGAGAGGGTCAGCAAGCGGCTCAAAGTCACCAAACTAAGAAACGACGGAGCCAGAATTTGTCTTCGCACTGTCCAATTCCAGCCAGTGCTCAGTAGCTGCCACAGGAGCTCCCAGAAACTCAACAGACGCAGCCCAGACACACCGAAGGGCCAGTCCTCCCCAGACCCCAACACACCCTCAGCTAAGCTGCTCGCCAGGTGCCAGAGGACCTTGGTTTCAGCCAACCTTGCAGCCTGAGGGCTTCTGATGCTTCTTCCTGCCCCCTGCCCCATTCCCAGAATGCCCACCTCCTATATTCTACCATAAAGAGGGGGGCCAGTGACAAAAATAATGTTCTACATGTGCCTTCTGTTGCCCAATAGAATTGGTTTTTAACTAGCCAGTTTTGAGTCATGCAGCACATTACAAAGATGCCACAGAGTTATTCTGTGCCAGAAAGAATCCAATGACCATTAAAAGCAGGAGCAACATATCTGTTTTAAATTTTTTGAAACAGGCTTTGCTGTGGAGCTCAGGCTGGCCTCAAACTCCCTATGCAGCCCAGGCTGGCCTAGAACTCATGACCCTCCTGCCTCAGCTTCCCCAGGACTAACAAACCTCTGTGAAGAATTGGAAGATAATGCTTTCGGCTTTGTTGGGCCACACACCAAACTAAGGACATCACATAGGGAATACCATGTAATTTTCTTTTTTTCTATCTTTCTTTCTTTCATTCATTCTTTGGTACCAGAAATCAAACTCAGGACCTCGAGCTTGCCAGGCAGGCGCTGTGCCTCTGAGCTATATCCCTAGCCCTACCATGTAATTTTCACATGTCACCAAAAGTTCTCCTTTTGCCTTTCTTTTTTTTTTCAAACAATTAAAAATGTAAAACCATTCTCAGCTCCCAAGCTGTACAGAATACGCAGCAGGCCATTTTGACCCATGATCTAGTTTGTTAGCCCCTGATTTAAATTAATACTTTTCTGCCAGGTGTGGTGGCACAGGCTTGTAATCTCAGCACCAGGGAGGCTGAGGCAGGAGGATTGCTGTGAGTTTGAGGCCAGCCTGGGCTGCCTACGAGCTCAAGACCAGCCTGAACTATGTGGTGCAACCTTCTCTCAAAAAACAAAAGTAAAAAAATAAATACTTTTTTTTTTGAGACCAGGTCCCTCTGTGTTGCCTAGGTGGGATTCAAGCTCCCAGACCCAAGTCATTCTCCTGCCTCAGCCTCCCAAGTATCCCAGATTATAGGCATGAATCACTATACCCCTAATGCAATACTTTTAAAACTAACATGCTAAGATCTGCCTGATGAGCTTGTTAAATCAGTTTTCTGGGCCCTCACTCAGAGATTCTGATTCAGAAAAGTCTGGGTGGGGTCCCTGAACTTGCACTTTTGTCCGGAGGACAGATAATGCCGTGGCTGCCTCTCTGCTAGCTACATGGCGAGCAGCATGCGTGCTCTAAGGCACGCCACGTTACGGCTGAGGAAACTCCAGCAGGTGAGGCAGCGACTGCCCCGCCACTGTCCGGGACTGCTGTGCTGTAGAAAACTCTGTGTTTTCTTAACTCGTGGTTATGCTCATGCTTCCGAGCCTCTGTACAAACTTCCTGCCGCACGGAGTCATTCCCCCACTGCCATTCTCACAATCACATCTTCACATCCAGATCTCGCTCAAGTCTCACCTCCTTTAAAGTTTTCCCTACCCTCCCCAAACCCGGCTGCAGCTCTCTGCACATATTTGTGTAGAATGCCTGCACGCTGAACTTTGAAGCCAGGGGCTGCGTTGCTCCTCGTACAGTGCCTGGCAAATAGGAGGTACCACGGAAATATGCACCAAAAGAAAGAGTGCATGTGTGAGCGGGTGGATGGGTGGGCGGGCGAATGAGTGAACATGCCTCATGATCTACTGCTTGAAAACAATTTTTATGGCAAAGTTGAGGACAGACCCAAATTCTGCTAGAATACAAGCTATGGAGTCTATTCTACAGCTATTTACACACGGTGGGTGCAGACAGTAGCTACATTTTATTGAGTGTGTATCGAGTGTATAGTATGTGGCAAGCCTTATACTAAGTACTCCTGCCCTTTACTGGCCCTATCTTTACTAACAAGAAAACGGATGTTCAGAGAGGTAGAACAGCTTGCCCGAAGCCACACAGCAAATCGTATCATAGCTTATCTGCTTCTATGCCAGCTGCCCTGCGCTTCCCACCCTCCCCTCAGTGTCCCTCCCGCTGTGGCCCCACCCAGCCCTGCAGGCCCCAGGCCGGGCTCACCTCCATCTGCGTAGGTCTCGGTGCCATAGCCATCCTGCAGACCATTGTTCCAAGTGCCCTCGTACTTGGCACCGCTGCTGGAGCTCTGTCGGGTTCCGTAGCGTCCCTTGAAGCCATGCGTCCACTCCCCCTTGTAGAGCCAGCGCCCCTTGGTCTCTATGCCTAGCCCATGCCGTTTGCCCTGGCTCCAGTATCCCTCGAAGGTGTTTCCGCTGGGCCAGGTGTAGACGCCCGCCACTTCAAAGCCAAAGTTCCAGGAGCCCGAGTATTCGCCCTGGCCCTTGGGGCCGGTGCACAGTCCGTGCCCGTGGGCCTTCCCCCCCTCCCAGCCCCCACAGTACGCCCCGCCATCGTCAAAGTCAAAGCGGCCCCCGCTCATCTCATCCTCACCCCCGACCACCTCCCTGTCCTCCAGCGTGGGTGCAGGGCCCGTCCAGGAAAACTGACACTGTCCAGGCACCCTCGGGCCGAGCCCCCAGACTCACCACCGCGCCCCTGGAGGAGGGAAGCAAGAGGCTAGCAGAGGCTGAAAGAGCCCAGAAGCCAGGTCAGCACTGGGGGCGCTGGCGAGAGCCATGCCTGGGGACCCCCCTCAGTCAGCCAGAGGAAGGCTGCCGCTGCTGAAGGAAGCAGGCAGGAAAGATTCAAAAGTCCCCACAGGGCGTCCCAAGTCTGGCTTCCGTGGAGTCCGAGGGAAAACGCTGTGATCCCTTTAAGAAGCACAGTGAAAAGTGTTGGGTAGAGGGGTCCCGGTATCCAACAGGGGCCGCTTCCCCAGTGGCAGCCCCAGCCCAGGCCGAATCCCCCAAGGCAGCCCCTGGCCCCCTTCCCTCCACCCCGGTGGGTGTGCGGTCCCTGATCTCCCTGCCGCTGCCCCGCCCCTTCTCCAGCTCTGCCCTCCTCCTGGGACAGAAAGGTCAGTGTTGCCCTAACAAGGCCATTGGATCTCACAAGCTGCTCCCAAAATAACCCCCTGGGCAGCCAAGCCTCCCTCAAAGCAGGAGGGAGGGGTGTTTCAAACTGAGCTGTGGCTGCAGACCCAGGCAGGGGCTGCGGGGCAGAGGAAGTAAGCCGAGAGCTGGATGTAGGCAGCCCAGGCCACCTTCGCGTCCTCCCTTCCCATGGCAGGAGCTGCCTTCCACTCTCAGTGTCCTCTGATCTGCGGACAGGGAGAAGGTAGGGGACACCAAGTCCAGCACCCCTGGACACTTCAACTCCCCCAGCAGCACAGGCTGGCAAACCTCAGACGCCCCCGCCACTCTCACTTCCCATCGGGGATCCCTGGGGCTCCAGCATCACTGCCAACCCCATCAAGGAAGCGGGCGACCTAAAGAGAAAAGAAGCGGACACAGTTTCCCATTTGCTTTTGACTGCAGAGGGAAGCTCAGGGGGACAGGTGAGGTTCTGGCCACAGAGCCTGAAAAGTACAGCAAATCTGAGACAGCTCATGCACAACCTGGGGCCTCTCCACCCCTCGAATCCGGGAAGAATTCAGGGCGAAAAGCATGGGCTGCTTCCTTCCTTGCTCCCCAGAGGGCAAACGCTGTCCTGAAGGAGAGGAGGCTGTCCCCTTTTTATTCCCGAGACACAGCATTTCAGGTTGTGTTGGAATGAGGTCCACGAAGAAATACTCAAGGATCAAGGCTCGTGACTTCTGTTAAAACTTCCTTTTCAAACTCTCTTTGCTCTAGTGTCCTCAGAGCCCGAGGCCTGACGTCAGAAAGCTCTTGGGACAGGGTCAAGAGCTAAGGGCCTGGGTGGATTCCCAGCACTCAGGTTCCCACCAAACTCCTGTAGAAAGAACAAATAAATCTCTGGGACCAAAAGCTGTGTCTGAGCTAATGATTGCAAATTCCAACCAAGCCTAGGGGTAACAATACAGAGTATCTCTGGGAAAGGTAAGGGCCTCCAAGGTTAGGAAGCTCTGTGTGTGTGTGTGTGTGTGTGTGTGTGTGTGTGTGTGTAAGAGAAAGACAGAAAGAGACAGAGAGAGAAAGAGAGACAGACAGAGAGAGAGGAGGGGTAGATGGGTTGGGGTAGAAATCACCAAAAAAAAAGCGAAGCCACCAGAGACTAGAGTCATTAGACTATTATCTGACTTCAAACATATCTGACTTACTTCTAAATCCCATGGCGATGAGGCCACATAAAGTCCCAGCAAAACGTTCGTTCTTATTTCAGAACCGGGCAGAAAATGTTCTCCCCTTTCTACCCCACTGATTACCAGTTCTTAGGACTTGGTTCTTCATGTACACAGCCCTGTACCTTGAAGAGCCGCTTCGGAGTCTGCATTTCACCACCTGGAGGAAACTTCAGTCTCCTCAAAGCAAGTAACAGTGAATAAAGGTGGTCATCCAACCCAGCAGCCTGGCCCTTGGCCAGGACAACAGTTTGCTCCCCAAGAATCACCTCGAAGGACACCTCAGTGCTGCCTCCAGGGGGCTCTGCATTCTCCCTGCCCCCTGATGATTTGGAGCGACAAATTGCTGTCAAGGGAAGATGGAAGAGCGTTCCAACTAGAAGGGAGTGTGAATCTCCTCAGTTCTCTACCCACTGTGACTAAGGGCCAGGCCAAGCCCCGCAGTGGTGTTCTAAGGCCAAGTGTGACCTCTGGAACAGCTCCGGCCAAGTAAATGTAGCCGCCATTCATCCAAAGCAGCTCCGTGTGAAGGATCCCTCCGGGTATGTACACATGAGTCTCCTCCAGAGAATGTAAAAACCTAAACAGATTCCAGAGCTATGTGATCAGACTGTCCTGGGAGGGGACCTGGGTCATTGCATCCTTTCTCAAAGCTCCCCAGATAAATCTTGTCCCTAGTTAAAAACTACTTAAGTTTTCAAATAACGCGAGTTTCTTAATAGCATTTATAAATTGCAGATCCATTTGGATCTGAATGGAACCAACCAGGAGACGAAAGTCCCTGGGAAGCCCCGGCTTTCTCAGCTAGGCTCAGGGGCTCAGAATATTGGATATTGGTCATTATCCAACCATGTGCTCAACAGCTCTACATATATCATAAGCATCTCAGACGTGACAAAACACAACCGCTGTGTCAGTTTTGGAGTTAGATATGTGTTCAAATCCAAGCTCCACCCCTCATTACCAACTGATTTTTGTAAACATTTAGGTGAAATTCAGATTGCTAAATTTGGCCCTGGCATTACCAGCGCAGCGGACAAAATCATCACTTATTCCGTCCTGTCCCTAATCTTGGCATTTCTGGGAAAGGGGGCCCTCTTGTGGCCATATGTGCATTACAACAGATTGTCTTTAGAAAAATAGTTCTTGTAACAAAATGGAATTTACTAAAGCTGAATTGAAGTTTAAATAGTGTTGAAAGGTAGTTTTCACACTCTCTCTTCTTCCCGGGCTGTTTTTTCACTCTCTGGTTCTGTTTTGGTCAGAGGTATTCACTTCCTCCCGCTGTTACCTCCTTGACATTTTAAGCGGCGCTGCTTCCCGGGGACCCCAAGGAGAAGGAACAGAGAGTCCCGAGCAGAAGACGACTGTGCCCAGGTCTGCCTAAGTTCCGAGCCCCTGAGCCTAGCTGAGGAAGCCAGGGCTTCCCAGGGACTTTCGTCTCCTGGTTGGTTCAGCTGGTTCAGACCCCACAGGCTGGCTCCTTCCCCGAATCCTGAATCACTTGAGGCAGGAATTTTCTTCTTCCCAAAGAACACACAGCACCTCCTCTTGGGTGGAGCCTGGCTTCCCTGTCTGCACACAGTGGACACCGCCTCTGTCAGCAGCCTAAGCAGCAGAGGACTCCCTTCCGGAAAGACTTTCTCGATTGATTTCTAGGACGGACTCTCCCGTGGTTCTGCCCTTGTCTCACTGGTTCCTTCTCAGTGCATGAACTCTGTACCTCAGAAATGTCCAGAGCTTAGTCCTCTGGCTTCATTTTTCCAAACAAGCTGTTACTATGTTGTCCAGGCTGGCCTTGAACTCATGAGCTCAAGTATCCTCCTGCCTCAAGTATCCTCCTGCCTCAGCTTCCTGAGTAGCCAGGACTCCAGCTGCAGGCCGCCACTGACCTCCTCCAACTTCTAGGCAGTGACTTCACTGCCTTGGTGATCTTCCATATCAGGGCTTTAAAAACATTCACGTCCTGATGGCTCATATATTGGTCTCCCTGGTATGTCATTATCCAACCATGTGCTCAACAGCTCTACATATATCATAAGCATCTCAGATGTGACAGAACACAACTAAACTCATTTCCCCTCCCAATAACTCCCAGCTTCTTAAAAGCTTTGGTGTCATCCTTAATTCCTTTCTCACACCTTGTATCCAACCCACCAGTAAATCCCTTCAGCTCTACCTTCAAAATAATTCCCAAATACATAATGGTTCCTGCACTAAGCGTCCAGCCACCAAAAGCCACTGCCTGGTCCAAAGCAAGCCTCCCAACAGCTCTACTTCCCTCCTCTGTCTACACTCAGCACTAGGGAGGCTGAGGCAGGAGGAAAGGAAGTTCGAGGCCAGCCTTGTCTACGTAGTGAGTTCAAGGCCAGATCTTGTCTTATAGCAACATCTTTTCTCAAAAAGTCTAGTCTCTCTTCCTTGCTCACTCCCTAATTAGCTCTTTAGCTCACTCTTAAGAGCCAAAGCCCTTAAAACCCCCGACCAGGCCCTCCACGTCTGGTCCCACCAGTACCCTTCTGACCACAACTGTTAACTGTAATTTTTTTGTTTCCTTCTGCCAAAATTGCACTCCCCCAGAGGTCCACGCAGCTCACTCCCTCACTTCCTCCAGATCTCTGCTCAGAAGCCACCTTATCAGAAGATTCTCTGATGACAGAAGCGTCAAATAAAATAGAAGCCCCAGGCCCCTACCCTATCTTCTAGTCCTTCCCCCTACTACTTGTATGCCCATCACCTTTCTCCACTGACAGGAATATTGCTCTGCTTACTTTTCTATTGCTGGTACCTAGTGTGCCTGGTGTAATGCGCACACTCCAGAGAGATTTGAATGAGAGGATGTATGTTCACTGAAGAGTGAACTAAAAGCAGGTAGAACTCAGGATAGCACCCTTCAGAACATGAGTATAATTTAAACAATCCCTCAGTCCACAAACTGAGTCCATTTTGTACAATGCATCAAAAGTAAATCACATCCACAAATGAAAGTCAAATGTTCTAATGAGATATTAATATTTAAGTTGGCCCAGTTTGGTCTGAGAATTTTACCTTTTGATAAAAATTTGAGTGGGATATTAGTAACCTACAATGTATCTCCACAAACCTGGAATGTCTAAACTTTCATCCTAGTAGATTTCTTCAGCAGGTTACTAGGTCATTGGAACTTTGATCTTTTCAATCCGTACACCCTAATGACTTCGTATTAAAGGATAGTACCTCTTTTCATTCTCTGGTGATTTTTCTCAATATATACTAATTACCAGACAAGGGCTTACTGACTTAACTGTTCTAAATTGTATTTGAATCAAGTAGCTCATTACTTAATTACAAGTAACTCTCCAGTATAAAAAAAGACAGAGAATGCTAGTTGTGGAGGTACGGATAGGGTAGTAGCTTTTCAATCAGCTTAAATGGACTCTGATAATTGAGAGGGTGGTCTAGGAACCCCCGGGAGTTCTGAGGCCCTTTTAAGAAATCTGACAGGGTCAACTAATTTCATGGCACCAAGACATTGTTCATTCTAAGTGTACAATGGAGTCTGCTGGAGATGATGTGATATCCTGAGTCAATGCAGGAGCAGATACAAGTATTTCTTCTGACACCAAACCTTAACAGACACTTGCAAAAATGTAAAACAATGTCACCCTTCCCATTTAATATTTGTTTCAGAAAAGCTACTTTTCATTTTAAAATGTTATTTGTTAGCTTATAACCAGTTATTCCTGTTTTGTAAATTTCTTAGCTATAATTTCTAATCTGGCAAATACTGAGCTATACTCCATGTAAAGTCTCTGGAATGCTGAATTTTAAGTGTAAAGAAAAGTTAGAGAATTGTTGCCTTTTACATACAAAGTAGTGTACCATCACCACAAAAAAATCTGTCAATTACAGTTTTTAGGGCCATGATGGCTTTTTGCTCCCTTTTGCTCTTACCACAGCCTTCAGGTGCTTCTAGATCCATACTAGAAACTAGCAAGGGGCCCGTGGTACACACCTATAATCCCAGCACCCGGATCACTGCGAGTTCCAGGCCAGCCTGGGCTACAAAATGAGTTCCAGGCCAGCTGAACTGCATAGTGAAACCCTGTCTCAAAGACAAAAGAAAAAGAAACCAAGCATCTAGAAGGGTCTTCCACACTTCCTACCTGTCCCAAGTATAAATCACCAGTGACCCCAGTCACGAATCAACTATGCAGTCAATGAGATGTTTCAGCAAATACTAAGGGCTTATTTCATAATCTTAACAAGACAAATTTTCTATTACTATTATGTTAACATGCCTAGATATTTTCACTGAATTTTGTGGGCATGCTTAGGATGGTGTGAATTAAAATACAAATTATGTGGCATATACAACATTCATGTTGCAACCACCTGAAAAAGCTAAGGCTAAGAACTCATCCTCCAGCTGAAATAAGCACTTTTTTAAAAACAAACTTTGGAGGGCATTTAGGGAGGGCTGACTAGAAATGCAGTAGGATACAGCATGTAAAAAAATTCTCTTGAGTCTGTGCAGTTCAAAGAGCTAATAAACATTTACAGCATTTGAAACTGAGGTATGAGACATAGACTACAACCGATCACAAGAAATAGGCCTTAAATAAAAATGTCAGAGAGGGACAAGATGCATGTAGTTTCAAATACTATACTTCCTCCTTCCAACTGACACCGCTTTATTTGAGAAACTGCACAGCATGTCTCAGGAGGAAAAGCACCAGCAGGGGTTTATTTAGTGATGGTCAGTGACTCTCAAACACCACAGGGAGGCCAGCTAGTTTATTCAAACTGAATCTAAACCTCAGATCTCCAGCTTAACATAAAATACTTTTAATACCACCAATTCCACGTTAAATCAGAGATGGTTCAAATCAGTCTTACAAGTTCTAATATTCTGAGCTGGCAACTACAACATGACAAATGTTTGACCCAGTCATAAAACTACATTTGATTTTCCTTGGCTACCAAATCTTAAACAGATCTCAAAAAATTCCTGTTTTACAAAGCCTTAATCATTAAAACCCACTGCTGCCGGTCTCCAGTAATTGTTTCTTCATCCCCCAGGAACACTTCTAGATGAGAGGCATTTTCTCTAATCTGCTTGCCTGGGTATGTAAGAACTCAGAAAGTAAATTTAAAGAATGAAGTTTAATTAAGATGCCAAGAAAAGTTTTTATTGCAAGCACAGTGAGCAGAAAGAGATGTCTTCTCACAAAGTGGCCACAAAGTCTGCCATTAACTAAATCTCTTTGACAACCCTTCATTGGTTTAAAGCACACAAATTAGCTTCTGGCTATCAAGTGTACATCATTTCTGCCATGTGAGACATTTTCTTGGGAATATACAAGTAATACTCCATGTAGCCTGATAGGTCCTCAATGGTCACATCATCCACATAGACTCGAGCTTGCTCAGAGCAGGAGCGGGGAGAGCCAGACAGAGTTCTCGTGTGCAGCGACTGAGAATAGTCCTCTAGTGTGGAAATTCGTTCTGGGACCAGGGGAGGGACATTCTGCAAGCCTGAAAAGGAATACACTTCCATGTCATGCCACCTTTTACACTGGCACTCCTTGCCTACACAGGCACACTGCTTGCCCTGGTTTAACTTGGAAACAGATCGAAAGTCAGAGAGATCATTGGCCTTGAGAGTTGCTTGAGAGACTTGGGTAGCATCAGAGGAGTCTTCGGTCTTAATTTCCAATGGGAGCCTGGGAACCGAAGTTCCCAAAGGCTCAACAACTGCCCCTGTATGATTAGCATCAAGAGAAGTAGAGCATTCTCCCACACTGAACTCTTTAGGGGTTGAAACTCCCAGCCCGTTGCTGCCATCAGGTGTGTCAGTCTGGCTTTTATGCTTGAGCTGACTGCTGGAAGGAGATGCTATTGTACTGCAATGTATGAACTTTGGAGGATGAAGGACAGGAGACTTAGAACGTCGACGACGCTGGGTTCTCACGGCTCCTCGGGAAGACTTCCTTGTAGACCTGAAAGAGAAAAATACACAAGAAAAAATATACAAAATAAGATGTTGGGATACACAGCCTTCCCAATAGATTCCTCATGATAGTTGGAAAAGTACCACCCCTCAGCTTTGTAAGTTTAACGTCACAAACTGCCCCCGAAGACATGTACCTGCCTCCATTTGCAAGCTGCCTGTTTGTTTAGTGTCTAAAAACTTCAATACCCCCTTATTAGAAGCTATAAAAACAAGAAAGAAAACTGAGTAACTTGAGCACAATATCTGGTATGAAATACTTGCCTGGTCTCTCATCCTGGGACTGAGATCCTTTGACCAGTGGGGTGTGGAAGAAGAACCCTGCAGATACACACTGTTGCTGTAAAGCCTAATGCATTCTAAGCCTGAATGTAACTGCAGTACAGGGTAAGCTAATGCTATGAATAGCCATTTTGCCAGTATCAGATTTATGATTAATTTATCATTGGTAACAGCCAACAAACAAAAAAGGATTTAGACTTCACATATTAGGAATTAGATACAGTATATAACTAATTATAAAACATTTAAATAAAAGAAACTAAAATTAGCTGGGCATAGTTAAATATGTCTGTATACCTAGCTACCCTGGAGGTTGAGGCAGGAGGATCATGAGTTCAAGGCAAGCCTGTACAACTTAGGAAGACATTATCTCAAAATAAAAAAGGCTGGGGATGTAGCTTAGGGTGAAGGCCCTGGGTTCAATATTTAGTACTACAAAATGAATAAAAAAAATTGTATTTTGAATTAAACTAAATGGACAGCCTAAATAGAATACAGAGAGCTAAGAATTACTGAACTGGAAGATAAATCTGATTTATAACACATATCTGCAAACAGCTGCTTGTGGGTCAGATCTGGTCCCTCTACTTGGTTTGGGGAGGGGTGTTAGGGATTAAACTGAGGGCCCTGCCTATGCTAAGCACATGCTGTACCACTAAGCTACACCCTGAGCACCCCAACCTATTTCTGTACAGCTTTCAGACACTGCTCCAATGGTCTATCACGAAGAGTTATGGAGACCAATCTGGGATCCAGGCCTCTTCTCCCTTCCATTCCCCCTTGCCTGCTTTCCAGCCAATGGACATGCCATGCCACTGTCCAGGGCCCAGAGTGGCAACCACTTACATGTTGGCACCACTTGCTGGGCATCAAGAGTTAGAATCTCAATTCAAGACTCCAACTAATGCCAGGATATCTGGAAGACAGAAGGGTATGCTGCAATCTGGTTCTCAAGGAGCTAGCGCACTAGCATACAACCTGATCTACCCATTCCACCAAGCTCTCTCCCCCCGGCTATTTCATCCTGAGACTCATTCAGCAACTGAACTCCAAGTGTGTATCTTAGCTAGCAGGGCCCACCACAAGGAACAGCAGTTTTCTCCCTTATATAAATAAGGACCTATGAAATATCTTTGCACTTTGTCTTTTGGTCTCTAAAATCTAAAATATTTACTATGCAATCCTTTTAAAAAATAGCCTATTCGCCCCTGACTTAAAAGATAGTAGAGAGAAGGATTTAGAAAAAACGTAAAAGCAGCCAAGAGTAACAGAATAGTGAGTAAGTCTAGAGTCTCAATGAAGCACAAGTGAGTTTTTTGAAGATAATGGCTGAAAAATTATCTGAATTGATCAGTGAGAATCTACAGATACAGGAAACCTGGAAAAGGATAAATAAAAAGAAATCCACATCTTAGTATGGTGAAGAAACTGTAGAATATAAAAAACAAAATAGATCTTAAAAGCACTGATAAGATAGATTTCCAGAAAAGTAAATTCATGGTAAGTCTTCTAAGACCAACACAATTAAACAGACAATGAATAGATCTTCAAGTGCTAAAGAAAATATTGCCAATCTAGAAGTGTGATATCAGTTATATCAAGTCTATCTTTAAAAAAACAAAGATGAAGCCAGGTATAGTGGTACCTATCTGTAATTCCTCGTACTTTTAAGAGGCAAAAGCCTCATCAGTTCAAGCTCAGCTTTGGCAACTTAGTGAAGACACTGTCTCAAAATAAAAAACACAGTGTGAAGGCCCTGGGTTCAATCCCCCCGTACTGCCAAAAAAAAAAACCCCAAAAAACCAAAAAAACAAAAGAAGGGGAGAGAGGGGAGGAGGAAGGGGAGGGGCAGGGGAGGAGGAGGAAGAGGAAGAAGAAAAAACTACAAGACCAAAATGACCAAAAAAAGTGTATTTACTAATAGGACATGAAACATGAACTGTAGAAAATAGTTTATTTAATTAACTTATGAGTAAAGCAGCTAGCTAAGGAAGGGTCTGAAATAGAGCTGAGTGACCAACTGTACTGATAAAAGAATTAAAATAAGACTAGATACTGAAAAGCTAGGGGTGGTAGCTCCCAGCACTCAGGAGACTGAGGTAGGAAGATCACCTGAGTCCAGGCTAGGAAACATAGTGAGTTCAAGGACAGCCTGAATTACCTAAGGCTTATCTCAAAAAAACTTAAAAAGAAAAGTAACAGTAGTTCACTTTGGGCAGAGAATGAACTTCCTTGGGCAATATGGGATGCAACCCACTCCCTACTAAAGAGTTGTGGACACTCTACTAAGCTCCGGAGGTTCCATTTTTTTTTTTTTTTTTTTTGTCTTTTTGAGACAGGGTTTTGTTGTGCAGTTCAGGCTGGCCCCAACTCACTTTGTAGGCCAGACTGGCCTTAAATTCCCAGGGATCCTCCAGCCTCACCCTCCCTGTATAGGGACTGAGGTGTGTGCCACCACACCTGGCTGCCCCTGCTTTCTGAGGAATTTAATAGCAAACTTCCTCAGGTAACAAGGAATACAGCCCCTCCATACTAAAGGGAGATACAGCCCCTCCCTACTGAACTGAGTTCTGATGAATTTAAAATGCAAAATAACCAATTTTTTTTCTCTAAAATCCCCCAGCTACCTACCTGTTGAACTGGTGTAGAAGCCCGAGTTCCAATTGGTTGTTTACTTTTTTAGCTTTTTTCAGACAGGGGTCTTGTTATGTAGTTGAGGCTGGCCTTGAACTCACTATACAGCCCAGGATGGGATTACAGGTATCTGTCACCACACCCAGCCCAATTTGTCATTTTAAATCCACAAAGCCACCTGTGATCTGGTTCTAAACAACTGAGCAATTCCTGTGCTGTTTATCTAAAATTAGCCCTGTACTGAGAAGCCATGCAGCCCTGCCCACCCACTCTACTCAGAAAATCCAAGAGCTACTCTTATTTCTAGTTAAATTCTCCAGCCTCCTTCCTTTGGCTCATAACTTTCTTGATGCTGTGAGACAATAAACTCTGAGCATCTGACATCTAACAGTTTGGAAGTTATTTTTCCTGCTACAGTATCATATAACTCCAGGAGGCACTATTTGTTTTGCCATGCTGAGAATCAAACCTTGTATATGCTAGTATTATAGACAGCTAAATTAGATAGAGATATTATAGGCAGTCAACAAGGATAGCCCTTCAAGGGAGTTAGCACAAAAGATAGGAACACATCAAAACTGTTGTCGGAGGCCTATCTAAAGATTAAAGCCATTGGAGCTGGGGGTATAGCTCAGCAGCACAGCGCCTGCCTGGCAAGCACAAGGTCCAGATAAACAGAAATTGAGGTTGGCACCACTCTTTTGATATTTCCCATATAAACAGACCATTATCTCATTAGGGATGGGCCATCTTCTATCCACTAAGACTAAGACTACTAAAACCAAGACTATAGATTATTGACCAAGGTTAATGATGTCACCTATATGCCCTTGTTCCTACTAGATCAATATTAGCTCAGCAGCTATGCTTATAATCTTATTGGTTGTTATAGTTTGGCCCACTTTATACTCACCTTCTGATTTTGTTCTGTAACTCTCTCAGAAAAGGGCTCTGTAGCATCCCACTTTTGGGTCCTCTCCTATCTCTTCCCATAAATTTTCCTACTCTTAATCTCCGCCATTCCTTAGAATTCATTCTTTGATTTCAGGGAACTTGATGTATCTGACATATAGCAGGTTGCGAGTTATTTCTTTCCCCTATATCACTAGGAAGTGCTCTACAACTGGACTGCACCAGCAGCTCTAGGGACACTGCTGACATGTACTGTATGTGGATTACGTGATGTGGAAAGCCTGTTTAATATAAAAGATTATTCACTAAAGGAACTATTTTAATAAAGAAAGAGGATACATACTACATGAAAGGTTGAGGATGTAAGAATAATGAGCAGAGAAACTTTTAAGTATGTAGATAAATATAAATAAACACTGCTTAATAGCAATAAAGCCTAATTTCTGATATTAAAAGTAACAGAAATGAAATATCGGGCAACTACACCATGGAAGCCATGCAATCAGAACAAAAGAGTTCTAAAGAAGAGGTTTGTAATATTAACTTTTGTTTTTGCTAAAAGCATACGTCAAGTTGGAAGTTTTCTGAGAGCTTGTTTGGAGGTTTTAGGAGGGAAGCACAGCTACTTGTGTACCCTCACCGAGAAAATGGTCCTCCTCCATTGAGGGTAGTTGTCCTTTTCAATGAAGTATGCAGCTTTGGGAAGGACATACAGGAAGCAAGAGGAAGGAAAAGGACACATCTCTAGCCAGCTAGATCAGCTGAATCAACCCTGGCAATCAATGGGGGGAGCAGATGTCACAGCTAGATCACCTTCACACCTGGGAGTGGTTTTTATTAAAAGCAGCACTCTGGAAGGGTAAGGCAAGAGGATCAGGCTCAAGCTCACCTAAGTAACTCAGGAAGTCTTGAAATTAAAAAAGGGAGGGGGGATAGGGATGCAGCTCTGTTTAAGGTCCTAGGTTCAATCCCTGGCTTGTTCGCTCACTCGCTCCCTCCCTCTCACATACACAGTAAAATTTCAAGGCCAACTACTAAAAGAATGAATAGAATCAATATACAATTTCTAAACCAGTATAAGGAAAAATGGCAGAGGGGAAAAAGTAAATAAAACATTTCAAGTAATTTTTTTAAAGAGAGCAAGGAAGGTTAAAAGAAAAAGGAACAAAAGGAAAAAGAACAAAACAAAGTAAAACAGTGAAGTCCAAATAACACCAATAATCAAAATAAATGTAAAGCACTCAACAGCTAAGCAGATCCCAGTGATCAGACTGAATAAAACGGAACAAAACAGAACCAAGCGATATTATTTACATAAGACACATCTAAAATTTAAAAGCACAGAATGGTTGAAATAGCAAAAGACGTACCATGCAAACACTAAAAGAAAACTGGATTAGCTATATTAATTCCAGACAAAAACCATATACTGTAATACCTCAGTTTACAAATGCTTCTGTTTGCAACAATTCAGTTTATAAACAAAAGCATTTGGCAAAATTTTGCTTCCATTTGCAAACTCCCTACTAGGTGACAAACATTACCACAGTCATCTTCCCCCCGAAACACAAACACAGCTATCTTCCCCAAAAATGATATATTAAATTCATAAACTGAGGTACCACTGTAATGGTTTTATAAAAACTACATAATAAAAGTTCCAATTCCTCAGGAATATTCTAAACTTGAATGAACTTAATAAAATAATCCCAAAATACATAAAGCAAAAACTTAAGAGTAAAGCAGACAAACTCATTCCTGTGCAGGAGATTTCAACATGTTTCCCAATTACTAACAGGTCAGTGACCAAAAAAAGAAACAAACTTTCAAAGTTTCACCCTATAAACCCAAATATCCCCTCCCCACTTTTGTGTTACGAGAGATTGAACCCAGGACCTCATTCATGCTAGTCAAGGGTTCTACCTCTGAAGCCCTTTGCCCTTTTGAATTCTGAGAAAAGATCTCTGTAAATTGCCTTTTTTGGCCTCATTCTGCTGGGGCCATCATCCTGGTGAGTAGCTGAGATTACAAGGATATGCAGCCACGCTCAGCCTCATACACCAAATTTAAAAGTCTGAAGGAATACACAACTCAAGAACAGTTAAAGAAGAAGCATTCTTCTCAAATATACACACATTTATAGAACTGACACTGAACCAGCCATAAAGTCTCAGCAAATTTATGAGTGAGAAGAATGAGTCCTTCTCTTAATTGCTATATGTTGGGTTCTATATCATGGCATACTCTTTTTTTTTTTTTCCTAGATGCTCAAGAAAATAATCTAATAGTATTTTAAGGTACTGGGATAAAAATAATATCAATAAGAAGCTCTTACCCATGCCAGCTGTCTTTAGAGGGACATGTAGTTTTAGGTTTGGTATCATCTACTGCTGCTCTGACTGACGCTCTAACACTTGTGCCTTCTCCAACAGACAGTGATGCAATGGACCTGAAGACAAGAACACAAGTTTACTGGTTTTTTTTCCTTTTTTTTTTGAGACGGTCTCACTATGCAGTTCAGGCTGGCCTTGAGCTCACTTTGCAGCCCAGGCTCGTCTCGAACTTGCAACAATCCTCTTGCCTCAGCCTCCCGAGTGCTGGGGATTACAGCAGTGTGCCATGACGCCTGGCAAAAATTTATCTGGCATTTTTGTTTTTTTGGTACCGGGAATTGAACTCATGACCTCAGGCTTGCCAGGCAAGCGCTTAAGCCACTGAGCTATACCCCTGCCCCTACAAGTTTACTGTTATAGAAAATTGTAAATGAGAACATATTGCTCTAACTCAAATATCACTTTTAGCAGTATCTTTATTTTTAATAATTTATAGTTCTCAAAAATGCATCAGATTTTAGTATAAATTTTCCTCCTAACCTAAATTTAGAAGATTCGTAAAGCCCACGGTTGCAAAATCACAAGCCAAAGAATGACTCTTAAGTATAGACAGCAACAAGATATAAATAGACTTTTAGGCTGTTTATCTGGGGCAGATCAGGCCTCACTTTCAGACAGAATGCTAACGACACTGACCATTTATTTTATATAGGCAAATAAGAGCTGTGGGAACTAAGTTTAAGAGCAAAACCTTTAGGAGTTCAATCCAACTTTAAAATGAGTACATATTTAAATAGTATACAACTTTCAAAAATATTCTAATTTTAGCAAATTAATAAATGTAAATATTCAGAGTTAAATCTTTAGTCTAGAAGTATACAGGTAATACAGTTTCCAGTAAAGAGCATTAATAAAAGAAAAACAGAACTATCCATAATCTTACAACCTGGAAACTACCAATATTCATATTTTGATCTAAATTCTTCCAGATTTAATACATAGAAAGACATACACCAATACAACACATACACAAAAGTACACCTGGCTCCTACTGCACATGCTATGATACTAATAAAAATCTTTTAGAAAAAAATTCATCTAAATTAAAAAGATGTTCACTGAAACATAACAAAGTAAAAAGTAACTGGCAATATCCTAAATATCCAAGAAAAAAAAAACTGTATTACATAAATACACATCTATATGAGAATCTGTTAAAAATTACTTATACGTAAGAACTTTTAATGATAAGAGAGCATGCTTATAATTTCAGGAGAAAACAACATGTAATACCTATACATATGTTACAATCTCATCTAAAAAAAATATATGGTATGTATAGATAATAAAATACATTATGGTTAATGACCTTTAACTGTTTATCCTTTTTTTGTTTTTGTTAATTTTTCTCTAAAATACATGTATTATTTTAGTCAAATATAAAGGATTATGTTGTTTTCTAATGAATATATAGATATTTGTCCTGGTAAGACAAACACCTTAGGAATCAAAACCTGTTGAGCAGGATCATGCTAAATTCTTGGCAAGGCTTGGTTCATTTTATGAGTCAGTCCCTCAGAAGTCCATTTATGAATTAGCAACAAAACGAAACTACAAATGTAGGTGCACTATACAAGTCTTACTCTGCTTAGTCATGCTAAAGATGCACCCTTTCTGTTCTTACTTGGCTTTTTCCAATGTCCTCCAGGGCTCTTTCTCCTTCTGTAATTTTGCTCCGAGGTGGATCACATACTACAAATATACAATTTTCACCCATGTATTGTACAGGTACTTTGAAGATACTTTATAATGGACCAAGTAGTTTTTAGTAGCACTAAAATGGTTTAATTTTACATTCAAATTTCTTACAATATCAGCAAAGAAATCTGTTTATCAAGAATTACTTACATTAAGTTAACAAACTAAGAGGCTTGTATTTAGACCTGTGTGCGTATTCATAGTATTTTCCTGCTTTTTAAAGTTACTTGTTTATCAGAAATCACAAAAGAATACACTTCAAACACAATCTAGATCTACTTTTCTGCTTCATTTCCATTTCACCAAATAGCTTATCAAAGTATTGACAGAAATGGCAAGGGGGAAACCTGCCACTGTTTTCACTGGAGAAAACAATGGAAAAATGTTACCTTTTCAAAGTATCATGGAAGCAATTGTCAACTTTTTAACATCTACAGTAAAGTGCAAATCTATTAACATAAACCTCATTTGTTAGGTCAAAAATAGTGCTAGCAGTAGGCAGATAGCTAGTATTGAGGGCCCAGTGAATAACAAATGTCAGTGATTATAATTACTACTTGTTGTAGAGACTTCTAGTCAGGTTCCAGTGTTTGGTTTCCATTCATAAAAATAAAAATTCTTATATCCAATGAAATTGTGAGATTTCTTCTGGCTGGGGTGACGAACTGGGGCAAGAAAAGGCTTGCAAAGAACATTTTGCAAAGGGTGAAATATTAACATTCAGACAGCAGCTGGTCTGCAGGTGCTCTAATTAGTTTGACCAAAGGGTCCAAGATTATTGATCTCAGTGACAGAACCCTACTGAATAAAGGTTTCCATAGTGATAGACTCAGCAAGCAGAAACCATGAAATCAACAATGTCTTCATAGATTTTTATTGGACCAATTCACTTTTGGTGAAAAATACTCTGATTCCCTTGAGAAGTATGAGGTCATCCCTGATGCATACTGCTTCACAATCTTTGAAGTGGGTTACCTCCACAAAGCTAAAGAAAACCAAAACGCTCAACCTTAAGAGTACAAATGAGCTGCTGCTTTCAAATTTAACAGAAAGGTTTCTTTTTAAAGTAAAATGATGTTGTGCAGAATTTGGTAGAATCTCACACTATTAGCATTTATATCTGTGAATGATCAGGAATATAAAGATGAGAAGCTCACTAAAGGAAAAGAACCAGTTAAATCTAGTAAACAACTTCAAATAATATATTACATATTTAATTACCCTGAGGCATCCACTCTTAATTTCTTGAAAGCAGTTTGTAGACTCTCCTCCTCTCCATCCTTGGCTTCGGATTTCATTGTGAAAGTTTTTACACTACTATAGATGTTCCCGTTAATACTAAAAAATAAAAAAAATTTCTTTTAAAGATAAAAATAAGATGAGAAAAATGAAAAGAAGTAGCATCAGAAGTACATCCTTTATTTAAAAAAATCTATATTCTTGGAGATGTAGCTCAATGGCATAGCACTTTCCTAATATACAGGGTCCGGGGTTCAATTTCTAGCACTACCAAAAACAAAACAAAAAACCCCATCTACATTACTGATACCATTACTATAGAAAATGTTTATGCATTACAACAGAATTTAAATTGTCCAGATGCTTGATACCAACACCCTAGTACACAGTTTTCAAAACTAGATCACTTTAAATGTAGCTGTGGTGGTGGCATACACCTGCAATGCCAGCACTTGGGAGGCAAGGCTGAGGCAGGATTAGGAGTTTGAGGGCAGTCTGGACTACATAGTGAGACCCTATCTCAAAACTAATTAAAAACAAAACAAAACAAAACAAAACTATGTTTTACTGTACTTTTTAAGCAAGGTTTCGTGTAAAATCACCACAGTTGTAGATATCTATGGACAAACTGATCTTTACATCAGAAAAATGAGAGAAAAGTTGAAGCAAAAGCACTTTAATGTTTTAAAATGCTACTTCTCTGGTTTAACCGTAACAATTCCAGTTAAGTATAACTTCATGTCACACGATAGCCATTTCCCTAAAGCAATCTTGACCCAGATATTAATATGCATGCAGACATATTTGAGAACAAGACATTATCATTGTAAAATGGATTAGAAACTTAAATCAGTGATTACTGATCATTCCATATTCTACTTATAACTTGATACTTTTGTTAGGTAGCTTTAAATATTATTGAATAAAAAAATAAATGAACTATACTGGCAACTCAAAAAGCTAAAGATAGAACTTTTCTTTAGTCAAAGGCTAAAAAAGCAGGAAGTAAAAAACAAACTACTGTTCTATAGCAGTGCCTTTTTTTTCTTGTTGGTTTTGTGAAACAGGGTCTCACTATGTAGTTCAGGCTGGCCTCTGGCCTTGAACTCACAGCAATCCTCCTGCCTCAGTCTCCCAAGTGCTGGGATTACATGTATGTGGCACCACATCTGGCTACAGTGCCTTTAAATAATCTCCTTTTAACTAGTTCGATTAACCCAAGTTCTCCATTTCTTTTATCTTGATTTGTATAGGTAGACAAAAAAAGAGGGATGGAAGCCCAACCAAAACAAGTCTGCCAATAAACTCTTGAAATCTAGTCTCCCAAAGTTAGTACCAAATCTTGAAAAACAACAAAAACGTAAAGCAGTATCCAGAAAGAAAAAAAGTTTTGAAAAGAATTTGGATGTATCTACCTCTTATTTCTAACCTGATATCCCCGACCCCACCCCACCCCCACCCGAGGCACAAAGCCTCTCTACCAATCCTAGTATTCTCTCTGATTCCTTATCTGGTCATTTCCCAGGGGTGAATTAAATGTTATTGTTAGATCTCTACCATTCTAAAGGTCAAGTGTCATAATACACCAAACGAAACCACAAAGCGTCACAAAGCAGTGGCATAGAGCAGTAAGGAATCAAGACTCTTTTTACTCATTCACTTCTTTATGTGTAGAAATTAAGGTATTTTAGACAAATCTCTCTGGCGAAAACTGAAAACAGTCTCAAAAGAGTAGCTAGCTTCCACCTCAATTTCAGGAGACAAAAAATATAAACACACTCTCCATATATATTTGACGGTTTATTTAACCAGTACAAAAGTATGAAGGAAACATCCATATAATTCCGTATTTGACTGATCTCTAATTCTCTTTTTTTTTCTTTTCTTTTTTTGTCTTTTTTGAGACAGGGTCTCACTATGCAGTTCAGGCTGGCCTTGAGCTCACTTTGTAGCCCAGGCTGGTCTCGAACTCATTACGATCCTCCTGCCTCAGCTTCCCAAGGGCTGGGATTACAGGCGTGCGCCACCACGCCCGGCTCTAATTCTCAATTTAGAGTGGGATCCTCCCAAATACACAATGTCCTTTACTACCGTGGGGGGCAGTGCGCAATGCTCACATATTCTTAAGTTCCACAGTATCTAAATATATCTGAACCCTCCATAGCATCTAAAAGGGTGCTACCAAAGGTTGTAAATAAATTCCTCCTGCTGCCAGGACTAAAAGTTTGAGCTATAGTTCTCAGTCACTTTATGACCAAAGGCAGCCTGTGGGCCCTTAGAGAATTAGTACATTATCTAGGCCAGTCTCTTCAACCCCCAAGACCCCACACAAACCCTCTTTTGGGCTTCGGTAGAAATCAGTCAGTATTTAACTACACATAACATCTAAGTATATACTCCTAAATTGTACAGGCAAAAATTCATCCCTTCCACAAATATTTATATAAGTCCTACCATGCATGTCCTTGGCATTAGACTGGATGCTACACATAGGACTGCTAGGCATAGACGGGTGAACTTGACACACAGGGGGCCTGGGATCTCCACTCTCTAAAGACTAGAACATCTTTCCTGTCCTCTAGTAACTTACAATATAACACTACGCTAAGATGCTGTGCATGTAGATAAATAACTTTTAATTATACAGTGCTGACTTAATAGCTGAGCAGGTGACCATTTTAGGTGTTAATATAAACTTAACATTCTTGTTGACATACTAAAAGACTATCATCTAAAAACCAAGACCGACCAAAATAAAAATCTAGATACAGATTAAAACTTTAGCAACGAAGTCCTGTCTAAACTATTCTCGAATTTCCAGCATTTTAAATCTTCACCTTTTTCTTCGGTTACTCTAACTCAGAGCAAGGCGTCCCAGGCATGCTCTTAAGAGCTAGACCAGAACATGTTTGTAATTAGGTTTATTTATGCTTCTCTGTATTCTTAGTTTCCCATTTACTCACAGCCAAGAGTTATACAACTAGCTCTGTGCTACAAATACAACTGGTTTGCCCTTCTTCATTAGTATTAAATTTGAGGGAGACATTTCTGCCGTTTTCACAGAAGTGACTTCATGGACAATCCCCAAAGATAGCAAACTTGTAAGGATTTATCAGAAGTAAACCGCCTCGGATTTCCCCCCAAACTTTTAAAAACGACAGATAAATTTCATGGAAGTTCCTCCATCAAAGGGGAAATTCCTTGTTTTCTTCGACCAAACAGCATGTATCACAATCTTGTTTACACCTCTGCATTTTAACCAAGACCTCCGTCAATCTCCAGCCTAACTCCCCATTTCCAGGACCCGAGAACAAACACCGCGGGACCCGCACGAGTTGGTCATCACGACCTTAAAAGCTTTCGAAACTTTCCCAGACCGCAGGAAGTGTGGGGCCTGAGGGAGAAAACCCTGTCCAACAACTCTCCACAAGACCAGGCCCCCAGGACAGAAACACACGCGCACCTCTCCGCACGCAACTGCAGTCGCACGGCTCCCAGTTAATTCTTTTCAACCGGAATCCGGGTCCGCGGCGGTTGAACAGGATGGGGAGAATGAATGGGCAGGGCCGGGTGGGCTGGGAGCGCCGAGCCAAGGCCGCCCGGTCTCCGGCTGGAAAGCTGCTCTCAACAGACTCCTCGAGCCAAAACGAGCGGCCCGAGCAGGGCGGAGGCGCAAGCGCGGGGGACCGGAGCCGGGCGAGGGGGCGGCCCACGAGAATGCGGACCGCAGAGGAGCGGGAAAAGGCGGGAAGGGGCAAAGGACGGCCGAGGAGGTCGGAAAGGGGAAGCGACGGCTGGGCGGGAGAGCGCAGAGGCGCCGGGCGGGGGCCGCGGGCGGGCAGGAAGGCGGGAAGCGGCGAGAGCGCCGAGCTCGCGCAGGTCCAGGCCACGGCGGACGAGGGGCCGCGAAAGGCCCAGGCTCAGGCCGGCCCAGGCAGTCGGCGCCGGGAGACGACGACGCGACGAGAGCGGGCGGGCCCGAGGGAAGCCTCCCGCGCCCGAGCCCGAGCCTGAGGCCCGAACGCGAAGCAGCTGTCTCTCCTTATTGCGTCAGGGCACCTACCTCCTCGCAGCTGGGGCACTCCGGCGACCCAATCCCGTCAGTTCAGACCGTCTCTCCCCGACCGCCGCGCCGGACTGACCCGGATCCAAACCCGCGGGGGGCGGCCCGCGCCTGTGAACTCGCACTGCGCCTGCGTCACTCAGGCACGCGCCCCGCCTCCTACTCATGCTCCTCCCACAACAGTGACTCCGCAGCCCGGCAGGCGGCGGTTGCGCAGGCGCAGAGCGCTGACCGCGCCTCTGGGACGCCCAGGCCCCGCCCCACTCCGAAGCACGTGCGCCTGATGTCATTTCCTGTTATTCTTTGCGCTCCCTTTTCCCTCCTCCTGGGGTTGAAACCGGCATTTGGGGCGTGCCTGCTTCCTCTTCTGTCAGGTGAGTGGGTGGTATTCTTCGCAGTCGCAGATCCGCCTCCGCTTAGCCCGGGTCTCCTGGTACCCTGTTCGCCACGTGGAGTCGCCGAGGCAACTGGATTTCGCCGGGGTGAGGCGGGGTGCGGGAGTTTTAGTGCCCACCGAGACCCTTCGGGCGCTTGGCAGAGCTTGATGCTGGGATCTGGACAGCCTGGGCAGCGCCTAGGCTCAGAGCTCAGCCCTCTCCTCCTGGGGAATCTTCCGGGGCCGGGATAGAAGCGACGACGTGTGGGAATTAAGGAGGCCGTGGACGAGAGGCCAGAATTGGAATTGAATTGCCTTCGCTTTTGGTGTCCCTGTTGTTTGACTTGAGGCAACTGCTTTTTCCTCTGCGCCTCAGTTTCTTGATGTAGCGAGTGAGAAAGCTGGGCGGTAACAGCGAATGCGGTGTTTCCCGGCTTGGACTCTAGAGAGTGTAGTGAGAAATACAGACCCTCTTGCCAGAGAAGTGCACGTAGACACCAAATTTTGCAAAAGCGGTTTAGGCGGTTTATCCAAATCGGTGGGTTTAGGGATCATTTCATCTTTATGATTCTGGTGGTTGCTCGGATAGCAAGCAGAAAATGGGTTAACAGCAGCACCTGCCACCGCCTCCACTGCCTCTGTCGCTGCACTGGTTCTGCAGTTCTAGCTAGCGAGGCCTCTCCTCACCTGCCACTCCTCAGCTCCCCATCTCAAAACCTCATGGGAAAAATGGCTTTCCTCAATAGAGTTGTTTCTGGCCCAGCCCTGCAATGAGGCCTTTGCCCTGAACCCAAACGGGCCCCTCCCACCCGCGTTCGCCAGTACCGTAGGTGTAGGTGGCTGAAGTTAGTTGAGCTACACTGTATTTAACTACAGCCAACCAGTGGAATACTTGGACCATGTCTGGAGCTGAAATCTACAGTTCACTGTACAAACAGTCCCCAACTTAGGTGTTTTTTACTTTAGGATATTGTGAAAACGATAGGCATTCAGTAGAAACTGTGCTTCAGAGTTTGAATTTTGATCCCCCACCTTGAGCTCAAAATACGCCATAGGATAGGTGCTAGGCAAGGGAAGCAGTCAGTCCCTGTGTTCACAAGGGTAAACCCATACTCTCCAGAATACTGTATTAAAAGCAGTTTTGACTTACGATGTGTTCAACTTATGGTGCATTTCTTGGTATGTGACCCCACTGTAAGTTGAGCATTTGTATAAGGTTGTTAAACATAAAGTATGTAGTGTACCCAGGGTAAAAACATTTAAATTTTCCCCTTGTTCATACCAGAAGCTCAATAACTGACAGCTAATGGCGGGGGAAAAAACCTGTTGTAACCTGATGATGCTCATAATACTGGCTACCCTCTACAGAGCAGCAGTTATGTACATTTTCTCTCATTTAATATTCCTCTGACTTTACACATTGTACAGATGAGGATGATTGTTCCAGCTTCCGTTGTTCTGTGCCACACAGTACTAGTAAGTCAGGGTTTAAACTGTCAAAAACCTGTGAATCCACAGCTGCTCTTCTCAGCATCCCTTGAAAAGAAAAAGGAAATGTGCGTTTTTTCCCTTCAGAATTGCCAAGTGAATTGCATCAAGATGTGTTTTTGAGCTACCATTCCAAACTATTGCTTGAGGTAAAACTTCATACATCCCTGAAGTCAAGGACGCTATCTTGATTACTATTGAATTTCTAGAGATTGACACAATTCCTCAATACAGTTGCTCAATACAATTTTGATGATTTCTCATTTCACCTTATTTTTACTCCTTACAACATTAAATGCTAAAAACCTAAAAATTGCAGTGCTCCTTTTACATAAGTACATCTCCACAGAGTTAAATGCTTTCTGGGAACGTGACTCATTACCCAGGGAGTGCTTGGAAGGTAAGAACCTCTTGGGAACACGGTTCACTCACACTCATGAGGTAATCTCAAGTTTCAAGTTATATATAGGACTGGCTCTTCGTGTGAGACATCTTGACTTGGAATACTACAAAATATATGATCTGAGTGAACAAAAAACTGGCCTTCCTTGTGCACCAACATCTTTTTAGCCACGGAAAAAACCTGGAACTTGTATGTGGCTCTTATATTCAGGAAATTCATTTGGTATTAACATAATACATATAGTAATGCCATTTAATAAAAAGGCTGTATGGTAGGTATAATACTTCTTAGCAATGCAAACTCGTTTTTATCTGTCTTATAAGTGACTAAACGGGATTTAAGTCCATAAAGGACACTGCAAAACAATTTATAGGAGGATAACCCGTTATTTTAAAAAGTAACTTTGAAAAAGGCAAGTTCAGAGTCATAAAATATTTATTTCCCCTAGGCCAGACTCAGTTAAATATCACATGCTTCCCCCTGTATGAAAAACCTAAAATATAAGTAAAGGAGAATTGGTAGGAAACCCGAAGATAGACATTTGGAGATAGGGAAGAGAATTAGGGGAGAGAAAAGGAATAGTAGAATGGGATAAAAGGATTGAAGATGAACAAGTTATGTTATATGCATGCATGAAATTTCCCAAAACAAGGTTACTAATCCGTAATCGAAAAACAAACTAATGTAAATGTGTATATACATATAACAAAAAGTTTATTTCTCTAATGGTATGGCTACCATCTTGTAATCTAAAAAAGTAGTCTTATATTTTAAGGCTCAATTAAATTAATTTATTCCTTACCTTGATACAGTTTTTAAAATGACCGCTAAGTGTAATGATGGGCACCTATAGTCTCACTCCTTGGGAGGCCAAACTAGGAGGATCGCCATGAGTTTGAGGCCTGCCTGGGCTTGTGAGTTCAAGGTCAGCCCAAACAAACCTATGTCTCATAGATTCATAGGTAGGTAGATAGATGACTAGGGTAAAAGGTAGCAATAACTAATCATTAGTGTCTTGATTGGCAAGTGTTACCTCTTTTAATCTTCAAAATCAACTTGTAAATAAGTACTTTTACTGTGTCCTTTTTATAACTGAGCAAACTAAGGCTCAGAAAAAATAGATAATTTGTTCAAGTTTACACGGCTTGTAAGTGGCAGAATGAGAATTCAAAACTAGGTGATCTAGCCAGGTGTGCTGGTGCACATCTGTAATCCCAGCACTCAGGAGGCTGAGGCAGGAGGATCATTGCAAGTTCGAGACCAGCCTGGGCTACAAAGTGAGCTCAAGGCCAGTCTGAACTGCATAGTGAGACCCTGTCTCAAAAAGACCGAAAAAAAAACCACAAAAAAACAAAAAGCCCACCAAATTAGGTGATCTGGCTCTATACTCTCCATCCTGATAAATGTTACACTACTTTTCTTACCTTTCCCATCCTCTGTGGTCACCTAACTAGACCAAGGATACCTACTTTCACCTGGGAAACACCCCTAGGCTTGAGGAGGTTGGCTGCCCAGGTCTGGACTGTGCTCCACCTATATACTGTACTTGTCTTGCATGTCTTTGAACCCACCAGACATTCCTTGCTCAGATCTTTTGCATTTGATATAGCCTCTACTGGAACATTGCTTATCCACAACTTGTATCTTAATTCAAGTCCCTGCCTGTATCATTTCCCGGAGGGCCTTCCCCAGCTATCCCAGCAGCTTCTTTCACTCTGTATCCCTTTTCCCTGTGTTATTTTTCCATTTAGTATTTATCATAATCTGTCATTGTATATTAATTATCAGGTCCCCTGGCTAAGAAAGAAGCTACATGAAGATAGATTCCTTATCTCTTCTTTTTTGTTTGGGTTTTTTGTTTTGTTTTTTGAGACAGTGTCTCAACAGACAGCTGTGTAATTCTAATTGGCCTTGAACTCCCTAGGTAGCCTTGGCTGGCCTTGAATTCACATCGATCCTCCTGCCTCAGCCTTCTCAGTGCTGGGATTACAAGTGTGTGCCACCATGCCCATATCTTCTATCACTGCTTTTTCATTGAATCTAAGGTGCATATTTTCCCACAAATTAGTACTCAGAAAACCTGGATATATCTTGTAATTGGCAGTGTGTCCTGGTTTAATTGGTAGTATTTTTCTTTTTAAATTGCATTTCCAGTAAATGATAAGCCTCTAAAAATGACAGTCTTAGAGTGGGTGAAAATACAATGTATCCCTACAGCCCAAATTCTTGGGTAACACATAGTTGGCATGCAATAATTACTGGCCAAAGGAATTGAATGTTTGCTATGTGTCAAAACTATTTAAATATTTTTAAACCCCGTAATTATCCTGTTATGAAATACTTCATGTTACCAAGGCAGTGTGGTAATGAGGGCTGAGTGTATGCAGTTTTGGATGGCTGCAGGAGCCGAGAGAGCTGTGCCAGTCTACGTGGTAGCATGTCAGGGCGCCTCTTGTGTCCTTAGTTCTACTTACTCTTTCCACA